TACGCAATATTATATAATTTATATTGTAAGTGATATAATTAGACGAGCGAGCTGTTGGGGAAAACTTGATTCTTTTTAAATAAGTAATAATTTTAAAGATGTTTGCCAAATATGTCCGCTTCCGGTTTCAGACAAACTCGACGAGTCACATCTTGATGACGAAGAATAAATTCAAGTCATTAACGACGACGGCGGCCATAACGAAGACGGCAAACCAGTTACACGCGATACGGCTTCAAAACATCGTTCTGAAGCTGAAGCGAATAGATCTCGCGCGAAATTCATTGCCGGTAATCTAGAATCCAGCTTCGAGGATCCCGTTCGTGAGACTAGGAACGATTCCAGAAGAGGTGTGACTTAAAATTATATTGCATTCAAGATATGTACAAAAGATTGTGAACAATATAATATGGTTGATGTTTGGAACGATCTTCCAGCGAAAATAAAAAAAATTATTATTCAATTTTAACCTTAATAACAACGCACAAATATACCAAAAATAAGTAAAATTGTACAAAATATATCAATACAAACATAAATAAACAAGAAAAACGGAAATTACGCGCACATGAACATTCACACAAATTAAAATTCCTGCTGAAAGCCCTGATGGCTTGGGCAAACAAATGATAATAGTTTTACACTCCGTGGAACGGTACATGTTAGAAAAAAGAAAGTTTATTGAAAACGAATGCCCGGAAAATATCCATAATCGCCAAAGTTCAAGAGCGCTTAGTCAATTACAAAGATAAAGATTCTACAGACAATCTTAGGATTCTGTGTAAGCAAGCGAGTAATACTCTTATACTATACAGAATGTCCTACATTAGAATAAAAATAATTAGTTAATTATTAGAAAGAACCTAAAAACCTACTATCCATTGTAAAGACGCGCACGAATATTTTTATAAATTTAATATAGAGAGAAGAATTAGTAGGGGTTTCTCCTGAGAAAAGAGAGAGAGAGAGAGGGGAGTTAGTGGGGAGACATAAAGAGAATGTAGAATTCGACGATTATTATATGATAAAATCATTATGCGACAAAATGTGTTGCATTTTAGTTTTTCTTCACGTGCGAGAGATCTCCTTCCGTAATGACATGTTAACGAATGCAAATAAACGACATTACAAACGGCGATAATTTATCAATTATGTCGAGAACCTTGCAAGGCAATTGCAGAGAGTGCGCATCACCAAAGCACCTACCTAGGTACAAAGGCAACGCAGTCAAGTCATCGCGGAAGATAGCTACAAGATTATGAACGGAAACTGTACTTAGAGAAGTTAGGTTCAAAGAGACACACATATATGAATCCACTTATCCGTATAAAGAGAAGATGGATGGCACGTAGAAGCATCAGTCAAACGCGGGATCTCAGTCATGTTAGTGACAATCATACCGTTTTTCTTGGGTACGTTTTTGAAATTTGAGTTTTCACAGCAATCGTTTATCATGCAATTTACATTTCACTTCGAATTGTTTTTTTCGATTCCACGATATGTTTACTTCGCATCAGCCTCAGAATTTCCAAGTTTTCGCTCGGAAACTCGCGTGTTATAATTTTATCGATTCACAGAAATGGTTATTTTGACAATAATCAAGGAGTGCAGTATAGTTACTTTAACGTAAAAATCGTTATGTAAACATCGGTAATTACCTTAAAGCATATACGAAGCGAAATGTCGATCGATCGGTTGTGCTCTCGGCTTTCCCCCAAAAGTAATCGCGCATTTACCGCCATCACATGAGTCTGAGGGATAAATAATTAAGTAACGAGAGTAAAATAAGTCGTCCGCGTCATCGTAGCTGATCCTCATCTGGCGAACAACTCACCATCATCTCATATTAGCCGTGATCTTATATTTTCGCCGGTTATCTCTTCATCATTCCAGCTGCGCAGGTCGCTGTCGATGATCCCAGTCGACAATCGGAATGGGCCATGTACGGTGGCGAGTGCACCTACGAAGTTTTCATAATATCCGTAATCGACAATTATCTCTACGCTTCGATCAAATCCGATTTCAAATGCCGGCTCAAAGCAGAGGACACCCTCAGTTGTCGCTTCCAGAACAAGCGGATCCGGCACACTTATCCGCTGAAAAACGAGACAGGCTTCGTGCCTACGATAAGATTCGTGGGCGGAGAGCCCTTTGAGATCCATTTCAACCTGAGTGGCGTTCAGTACCTGGTGGTGCACAAAACAATTCCCAAGTGGCAACTGGACATGATCAAGGTCATAGTGAGCCAGCTGAATGACAATTTCGAAACGGCGCGGCGTTACCCCCAAATTATCGAAATCCCTGCTAGGGGGAACTCGACGGTGGGTGAGTGCGAAGTTAACGTCACTCTTGGCAGGACCGACAAAAAGCACGACGACGACGATGATGACGAAGAGGACGGTTCCGGCATGAAAGAGAGTGAGGATTTCGAGCTCGGATTTGTGTGGATGCACGACAATTTTGCGCAAACTAATGGCAAGTTCCGCATAAAGAAGATACAACAGCTGAAGGGGTGTCCGCAAAGGACCATCTACTTCTTCTTCAGGAAAAGGAAAGATGACGGTCGCAGTGATGGAGCACTCTACATAGACATGGTACAATTATAGATTAAAACATGACGATGAGATTGCAACCGATGGTAAAATGAAGCTATTAGTAATTTCTAAAGTATTATTCGAGTCGTTTACTCAAAAAGGACCTATTTAATTGTCGAAAATATAATATTATATTATAAAATAATTATATAACATATAAGTTCTATAATATATTATATAATGATATTGTGTAATATCGCACGCATAAATTATTATTATATATAAAAATTATATAAAATTATATAAATTATATAATATTATATATGGTATTTTAGATCAGCACAGACAAATTTAATGAGGGCGTAGAATAGATTAAGGTGAACAAAGAAGTCTTCTGCCATCAGTATATTGAACTTCGAATCTTGAACTTGTTGCTTTAGATTGGGCCACCATGAATAAAAAGTCCATTTTGCGAATACACGCAAATTTTTGAGTTATTAATTAAAGAAGCCTGTTTTCATAACCATTTTCAATAATTAATAACTCAAAATTTTGCTCGTCGTTTGCAAAACGGTAGAGAACTTTTCGTTCACCTCAATTCGTTCTACGTCCTCACTAAGTTTATCTATGTTAATCTGGGACACTCTGTATATATAATTTGACATAATCAGATGCTAATCCTTGTCTTTTTTTGGCTTCAGATCTATTCAACGAACTACATCACGATCACGAAGAACCACTTCATGTCCCGTATGGAAATGACGGGGGTAATGAATACGGCGATCGAGACGCAAGGGATGCAGCTTAAGCAGATGATCGATTTGAAGCTGAGACGAATAGATCTTACGCGAGATTCATTGCCGGAGATCCGGAATCCAACCTCGATCAGTCTGTGACGTTCTTGAGTCTGAAAACGATTTCGGAGGACGCGTCATTCAACCGAATATCTGAATATCTTGAATCCGTGAATATCTTGAGTTGCATTCAAGATATTTACGAATTTCTGATAAATTTCGGACAAATGAGATTTCGATCGTGCACCGTTCAAGAATAAGTAGAACGAAATAGCCGCTGTATAGTTCATTTAATTCTTCGTCGTCGCGTGAAGAGCCCTTATCAGACTAACAATAAGTATTGAAGATCGAGAATTGCGGATTGAAGATTAGAGCTTCGTTGATCGGGGCAAAGCGAACCGAGATCGAAATTAGTCGATTCGTCGAATTTTAACCTTCAATACGCGATCCTCAGCCCTCGATACTTAGGTAACGATCATGTGATTTTTTCCTACGAATGAAAACGTGAAAAGCGAAAAGTTTCCCATAGACTCGACGAGTTCAGCGATCATGCAACTGTTCAAACAATAAAAATGCGGAACTTTTCACTTTCCACGTTTTCATTCCCAGGATAAAGTTATACACAGTAAAGAATCTTGTGTCCAAATGTTAAAATTTTATTGTTTTACCAAATTTTGATTATTATTTCAATGTAAAATTAACATACAACTGATACGTTACCATTTTCGTAACGTTTCCATGTGTTATATTTATGTCAATTTAGTAACTTAATATTTTTTATGTAACGTTTAAAAATGAAATATTATTTCGAATTTTGTTGCCGCAAAAATTAATCTAACATATTGTTGTTATCTCATATTTTGTGTTAAATCGATATTCAAAATTATATATATATATACATATATAAGTGTTAAGATAACACGTTTTATACTTCAATGTTGATTAGATATTAATTTTACTGAATATTATTGATTATATTTTATACGTTCAAATTTACAGACAAGTTGTGTTAATCTCACCTACAGGAACAGTTGTCATCTTAAAACTTAGGCAATACGATATACTAAAACTGAAGTATAACTAAAGCATAGCAAAGTCGTACGATATGTAAAATAGACTCAAAATTCAAAATTGCCGAGTTCGAATCCTATTAATGGTAAGCACATTTTTCAATACGATATTAATTGAATCAATGAAATGGCACGTAATTAAGAAGATTTCAAACATAGTCACTGACGACATCTTAAGAACATGACTAAAAAAAAGTGATAAGTAAATTTTTTTAGCGTGAAAATAGTATTTATTACACATGACATTATAAATTTAATGAATATCAAGTGTTACCATTACGAATAAAATTTAAGTCAAATTAATAGCACGTATTGGAAGAAAATGTATCAGTGTCGACCCATAAACATTTTCAATTTGTGAATAAGCAACACATGAGGTGCGAGTTATTTCGACTCTAAAATTTAGAGCGGACTTTCTGGGACTTCGTGTGTAAAAATGGTTACAATTGACATTTTACTTTTCACCGCGCATGATCGCCGGCCTGGTCTGATAGCGGCTTAAAAGTAGAGACGTCGCGTACCTCCCGCGTTTCGCCAAACGAACGCGCAAGCATAAGCAAAACAAAGCATTGTGTAGTTCGCGACGCACTTACGAGGCATAAATCGTTGGATGTAGCTGCAATAAAGGACCGCTTGAAAGCAGAGAATGGTACGACGACCACCGTCGCCAACACACACCGACACGACCAACTCCTCGCACATTATCGCGGGGCCCTTCACGCCTCTCGCGCGCTCCATTGCCAACGATTGTTTCCGCTACAATTGAGAACTAATTTGATTTCATCCCGCGCGTAACGGGACTTCCGCAGCGCGCTCATTGGATCTCTCCGAGGAACGCTCGCCAGCGTGCAATTCGCCCGCGGGCCGTGCGTCGTTACGCGGAAATATTCGCCGTTCGCGCGATCGGACACTTCCATCGTCGCGTACGTACGACTGTAATTGCGACAATCCGTCGGACGATTTCGAACAAATTATCGCATTACGTCTTACGAGATATAAATTCGTCGCAGTCGAATCGTGGCCGCGACAACGGCGCCGGTTTCGTTAGAAGAGCCTGTTTTCCCAGACAGTGCGAACTTGGTGAAAGATATCGTAGACCCGTGTTAATAGTTGAAACTTGTCTCAGTTCGGAGTTAGATATGCTTCTTTTTCCAGCTGTATCGCGCTTACGAAGGCAATGTCGCGTATTATTCTATGATTCAAATGAAAAATTCCAATCTATTCAGGTCTGAATTCAGACCTGAGTGTCTTTGTCTACGTGAGACAAATTTCAAATAACAATTATTAATGCGGGCCTTAGAGACGACTAAAAATATTAAGATGTCCTTTAGAAGTTCTAGGTTCAGTTGGACGCGTCGAGCTATTTGCGAGACCTTTAATTGTATTAACACGTTCATTACCAAGGCCTATTTCGAGGAACTTTCCTCACAGACGACCTCTTTTCTTACATAAAAGTGTCAAATTTTTAATTTCACTATAATGAAATTAAAGTTATTAATTTATAATGAAATTAAGGTTTTTAATTAATTTTTATTTTAATCATCTTTCTTTAATTATTTAAATTTTATTTATTTTAGTTAATTTTAAATCAATTTTTAATTTACACTAAATTAAAATTAGATTTTGCGTAATTATGTTAAATTAACGTGATAAACTAACTTAGTTTGACAATGTGGAGAACTGGAGAAAAATGTTAGCTATTCCAACGCAATGTGACAACGCCGGTCTCTCGTGAGAAATCGTTGCGTCGCACATGCGTGACTCTGATAGCGAACGTGTTAAAAGTCCGCAGCGGATTCCATTCGGCGGCGCCGACTGCCGCGAGAAAGAACTGCATCATGAATTTTGATGAAAACGTGAGTCGACGATCTCAAATCTAGTTAAATCGTGCTCTTATGAAAAAGAAAAAAACTGAAAAGATCGAGAAGCCACTTGCGCTCTTTATCGTTTATGCCGGCAAATGCGACATGCATACGCGTCGCGTGCAGACGTGCGTCATTCTATAGGGTTCGGACGCAAGCGCTGTTGAACATTATGAGCGTTAAATTATGAGCGTTACGTTCCGATATAAAGGAGCTTGCGAGTGTAAGAAGCGTATTACTGTAGCAAGGCACGCTGCCACGTTGAGATAAACGTCCTGATGATCGTCCTAATTCCGTTCTTCCTAGGTTGGTAAGCCAATAACATAAGACTGCCTGAATCCACATGTGCCATTCGAAGTCATATTCATCTATTCGAGCGCGAAATTGTCCATGATGTGGCGTATATGTGTCGTGTATGTGTGTGTGTGTTGTGTGTGCGACACGGAGAAACTAAGAAACATTTTCGGGGGAGATTTTGGCAAAGAGCACGCGATGGACACGAATGTAAATCATTGAAATCATCCGAATTTCAATATTCAAATTTTGCCCGCGATGTTTTTCAAAAATTTCCCTTACGTACGTTTCTCTTTCCAATTTTCTCTCGAAAGTTCCTTTTCACCACGGATCGCCGCTGGCATCGCAGTTGCCTCCCTCTTGCATTTCAATGTCGCGACTGAAAATTTCCGTACGAGTTCTTAAATATTTGTCGCGTGAGATCGCGTGTTGCACCCTGCTGTCAATGGTGTATTCGAGGTGATACGTGTGAAGATAACGCGAGAAAGTCCATAGTTTCTATTTAATGAACATCATTTGGAACATCATCTGTTTTTCTGTCTGAATTGGCTGCATTAGTTCAAGAAATTTACATACACATTGAAGCGTATGAAGCGTAGTTGTTTAAAGGAGTAAGTTGGCAAAATTGATTATTTCTATTATTTTCTAACAGGTTACAGAATCATGCAGGTAGAGATTTCATAACCATTTTTGATATGTTTGAAATCTTTCCTTGCATGATTCTGTAATCTGTGAGAAAATAGCAGAAATAATCAATTCGACAATTTATCCCTTTAGCCAATACTACACTGTTACCCATGTATCTAACAAAGTTAGAAGTACACGTTGAAATAAAAGCCCTGCGTAAATTACGAGATCGTACCTCGGAATATCCCTCGTAATTACGTAGAGCTTTTATTTCAACATGTTCCTCCAACTTTGGCGATTCATAGTTAACAGTCCCGGTCTCCTCTACGTACAAGATTCTCACGCTTCAGTGTGCATAAATTTCATGAACAAGTGTGGCCGATTCGGCTAAAAAGAACATGCCGACAGTCAAGAGAATTTTCCTCGAGGAGTCACGATCGATTCCTCGAGAAAGTTGAGTCTTCTCGCGTTTTGCATGTTTTTCGCTTCTGAAAATCTTCTGTGAAAGTGAGACCGGACAGTCGACTATTCGCTCGAAGCTCAGGCGCACTCGCACCGGGCGTCTTACCGGTGACGATTTCAAAGGAAAACCCAATCATGAATGAATTATTCATAAACGGCTCGAGATACACACGCTAACCTGGTTAAACGTTCTGTTTATTCGCGCAGCGGCCAACGTGTCCGTCAACGACACGTCGGAATGGACGTACGGGCCGGAGTATTCCTTCAACGTGAACCTGACCTACGTGGTCAAGTCGGACCTGGCGGTCCCAGACCTGGCCAGCATTATGCAGGTGATATCGGCGATGAAGTGCCGGCCGAAGGAGTTGGAGAACAGCTTGCTGTGCCGCCTGCAAAATTCCACGATGTCCGTGAATAAGGACAACACGAGTCGCGAGATCGCGACCGAGCAGATGTTCGAGATCAGATTTAGCGAACGAGGCGTGGAGAGCCTGCTGATCGAGCCGCCGACCTACATGGAAGTCGTCAACTTCATCCGCAAGGTCGCCAGTCAGCTGAGCGTGGGCGCTGACATGAAGCGGAAGATCGGCATGTCGCAGTTCATGAGCCGCGAGAACACGTCGATGGGCGACTGCGCGACCGTGTACAGGATCACGCGCGAGTTACCTGAGACGTCGGAGCCGCTCGAGGTAGCCGAGAACGCCGATTTCCAACTGGTGGTCTTGCCGATGGCGGACGCGAGACCCGGCACGAGCCTCACCATCGAGAAGTCCAGGATGGGCTGCATCAATCCGCCGCGCTATGTCGACTTCTCCATGGGGATACTGAAGATGGTACGTATGGAGCCTGTGTCTATATGTGTATGTGTGTATGTTATTCTCATGTTCCACGTGTTTTTATCTCTTGCAAAAATCAATTGAACAACATTCAAGTTCGACGATTACACGTTGATTGCCATGAGGATCGCCGGTGACACCGGCGCAATGATATCGTAGCGATTCTCATGAATTCACGTATAAAACGTAGTCAACTGCGTAAAACAACGTTAACTATATAATTGACAGAGAGATAATGAAGCGAGCTGACGTTCAGACGTCATTTGACGTCACTTTGATATTTGGGTTGATTCCAGAATTATTCAGTGAATCCATGTAACTGTTGATCTTATCGCTGGAAAGAAATATGTTACAGCACGAGTGTAATTTGCAGCAGAAACAATAGTGTTAGCTCGGTGAAAAAGTTTGTGAGACGTTATTGAAACTTAAATCGAACTTTTCGATCGACCCAATTGAATTAATCTACGTTCAAAAAGGCGATAGATATCATTCATCTCTCGCTCGATCCGATATACATTTTCATCCGGCGATCTTTGTAGAAGAGATTCTACAGCACGATACACGTGGACGGCGTGGACAGATTCGAAAGCTTCACCGAGATAGATGGCAAGCTGAGGCCGCCGACGGAATCCAAAATCTCGTTGAAGATACTCACGTTCACCAGCCAGTTGCGACTCAGCCTGGACAGCATCGAACCGGCGCAGGACCCGCTCCCGTCCGTTCCCTACGGCGAAGTGATCGATCTGAACACGAACAACGATGTACCGATCAACATAATAGATTAGAGACGGACTCTATGCGCGAGTATCTTGTAGATAAACCGTAGAACTTGCAGTCTATACCCGACAAAGCAGAAGAATTGTAAGGGGGCATTAGTAAAAGGCATTTAATAAATAAACGGTAAAGTAAATCAGACATTTCCTGAAAATGGCGCCTTCTCTCCTTGGTTATTTCCCCGGCGTTTGACGTCCTAGTAATCACCAACAGTAATATTACATCAATGTTACATTTCCTCACTCGACAGCGTAATTGTTGCATAATATGTTATATTATATTGCATTTGCATTATTCAGAAGGAAATTATAACATTGATGTTATGTTACTGTTAGTTGGTATTTATCAGGATGTGATGTTACCGAATGTTGGAGATTAGAATCGAAACGGGCATGTCGGAAGGGAAGATTCGTCTGGAAATTCGATTAACTCTGCATGAAATGCGACTCGCTCGCAAACAACTGCGAAGCGATATGACGTCGTACGTAGTAAATTTTTTTTTATTTAAATTACGCATACATTAAATTATAACTAGAACGATGGACGCATGTTCATGTTCTCTCACACATGCACACATGCGCACACATACACGTACAGAAATGGCGTTACACGCGTGTACGTATGTATGCGCGCATACGTGGGTGCGTGCGTACGCGCGTGTGTGTGTGTCTATACGTGAAATTTACGTATACAATGATCATCGCGAATTCAGAGTTACTTCATTGATTGCGATGTACTTAGCTCTAATTAGTCAAATTGCAGATGGCCCTCAAGATTTTAGAAGTCGTGTATTTCGTATACTCGATCCTATACAGAAGACTTTCTGCACCGATTTATACCAAACTGACATGAACGTTCCGAGTCTCGTGTGTCTCCATTTGCCCTCATCTTTCTCTCTCTCTCTCTCTCTCTCTCTCTCTCTCTTTCTTCCTCCCGAACGACGTTTCTTCCCTTTGATCCTCTCACGTATTACACGTGGACGATCAACACGCATTCAATACATTGTAACCACGTTGCGTCCACGTAGCCATTTTGCGACTTCTTCTTTCTTCCTCGGAACAATAATGCAAAAAGACACCTTGAGGAGACAGTGAATCTAACGACAACGAAGTGAATCAATTTGAAGAATCAATACGGATATCTACAAATCGATAATACACATAATTGCACGTTTCGTCTTGCAAGTTTTCAGCGCGCAGACAACTTGCTCATACCTTGCAACGCAATCAGCCTAACAGCTATACACAATAAATGTAATCAATGATCTGTTCTAATTTAAGTCAGTGAAACTTACTCGGTCGCGAAGGCATGCTATGCTTCTTATAAATTTCCATTAACATCCCCCCCCTCGCCACTTGTCTTATACAGTCGTGGACAATAAGGTTGCCCGTTACTTTATGACGCAGTCCGGAACGCAGACGATCCAACGAGAGAAGTTGTTTTGAAAAATTCTCAGAAAACTAGTTCTCTCATTGGGCCATCAGTTGCGCTTCGCACGGCGGCGAAAAAAATAGCGGACGACATTGTTGTCCACGACTGTACGGCAATCTTGAAAATTTGACGCAAATTTTCCAAGTGTACGCGGTATAACGGGGATTGACGCTCTGAAAAGAATTGTCAAAAGAGCTTCAGTCATCTCTCTGTTCTCTCGCGATTAGTTTTCTCGAAATCGACGCTCCCGTCGTGCACACGTGACAGGCGCACGAGACAAGACGTGGCGCGAAGACACGCGTAAGGAGAATCCGCGTGTCCTTATCCCTCACTTGCACAGAGAGCAGCCGTGAATCTATTCTTTTTTTACTTTTACGTTTTATTTCAGCGCTCGCGTGAGTTAGATAAGTACGTTTCTTCCTTTGAATCCGAATCGATTACAAATATCATGCAAACAACGCGTCGGACCGCGTTTTACCTCGGCTACTCATAATGGCACGATTACAATGATTTCTTTCTCCGTGTCGTCGTGTACGTTACACCGTCACGTCACCTGCCGCTTCACCCGCGGTAGTGCACATTGTCGACCCGTCGTCGACCGACGCTTCTCGAATATATAGTACGATTAGTGACATAGAAGATATTATCTCGCTAATAGCGCGTGGAAACAGCAAATTTCAGAGGTGAAGCGTTTAAAAGGCCTTCTCTCTCCCTCCATCCCGGGAGTCTCTTCTTTCGGTCAGAGTCGCGCGGAAATGTAGACAAATTCATCGGTATCCTCGTGTACATACGCCGATACGCATGCAAAATACGAAATACGAGAGTTTGGTGTAGGCTTCGCGCGCGAATCACGCTCGACGCGAGACCCGCATGGGCGGACGATAAATGCACAAGAAACAGAGTTAACGAAGCTTAGACCGTTGGTTCCGACCCGCCGACAGACACCGCGTAAATCACTGAGATTGTGTGTGTGCGTGTTGTGTGTAAGTATGTGCATATATGTGTGTGTGTAAAGCAGTGCCCGAAATTATTTGCATCTTTGAGGCGATTTTTCAAGCTTCGTCTATTTTCCTCTCCCTTGTCTCTCCCGCCCGTCCTTTGTATAGGAGAAAGAAATAACAGGAGAGAGGAGTGTAAAGTTTTTTTAGGTAGTGGGGATAATACGCGTCTATGTCTAACTGAATTAATATCTGACTGATTATCCACAGCAATATGGCGCGTTCTGTTCTTTCTTCGAGGCGCTCTCTGCACTAGGTGCATTTATCTTTCCATCTTTTTTGATCAATGTTACCTGAATAACGTATCTGGCAGAAAGGTGGGGGCGTTCCTTATAAATATTTTAAAGAAAAACAATGCAGCTATTTATGGTTTCCTCCATTCCACGTTCACTATGAAGGCTTCCGATATTCACTGTCAGTATTGGAAATCTATAGTATATGTGATGATACATGAATTGTAGATTTTCAATACTGAAAAGTGAATATTGGAACGCAACCAAAAAACGCCTGGGTAGTCACACCAATATGACGTTATTGTCCTTTCCTTACATTTGCTATGCCAAGGTGTATATCCCTTCCGTTATTTTTTTCCTCCATGATCCCTTGAGCCGTGCGACTGACAATCGTTACGTTCATCTTCAGAGCCGCCAACTTTGCAAGATCTGTGAGGCGTTCCTTCGCATTTCTGAAAAGATCTTATCTTACTGGAACTAATCCTCTGTGCGTGTTTTATTTCTATCGCGCTATCGACACAATTATATTGTTATAATTACAATAGAATCGTAATTTCGATAAAAATCTTCCAATAATATTCAAGAAATACCTCACAGATCTTACAAATTTGTCAGTCTTAGATTTCGTTAACGGTAACTTTTCTCCTATAGCAAAAAAGTAAAAAGTGAAATTTTTTCAAAGTAGAAAACTTACATTTTCTACATCCCCTGAGAGTCGATTATGAATCTTCTTCGCTAGCGTGAGAATTCACGAAAAGGGCGCATTTTCTAATTTAAAACATTTCGCTTGTTATTTCTCGCCCTAGGGGAAGTTATGATCGTCGATATCTGAAGTTATGCGAAGTTATGCGTTTGACTCGACGGGCGGGCGGGAGAGAGAAGAGGAAGAGAGGTGTGACTCCACGAGAATCGCCTCGAGAGTGCAAATAATCCCGAACATTGACATCAAGTAACAGTTTAAATAGATCACAAATCTCTTATGTCTATCGCTATATCAAATATGTATGCATACCTCATGTTAAGTGTGCTATTTACGACTGATAATTCGAGTGTTAGACTATCGCGGTGGATACTCGGTGTATCTGGCACGCAGCCGACGATCTGTCCGGTTAAAATGTGCGCAGGGCGCCCCGGCACCCTCGACCCTTCGACGGCAGTCGAGTCCTCCTTGAGGAGAATTTCGAGGGGGAGCTCACATCGCTCCTCTCTCCTTATACTTCGGTATCCGACATTTTGATTGAACCTCGCGCATTCAGACAGTTTTTCAATACGAGATCGGAGTTGCGAGGTGCGCCCTGTTGCAAGGACACGAAGGATACTTCGCGACGGTACTTAGCCTGTTCTCTTATGTGGTCGCTTCGCGCGATGAAACATTTTCTCTCGGTATAAAATCGGTTTATACAAATCTGTCGCGGTATAACAACAAGTAGTGTGAAAACGAGTGATATGATCGACGCGGAAAACAACGGGAGAAGGAGAATCCCACGTTGGCGCGGACAAGGCTGCGATTTTACGCGTCGACCGCGGCAAACATCGTCGGACAGAGTCGAATTTCTGGAGCGTCCAGAGAAGATGTCAGGGACCCTAGAAATCCCCTATCCGACAACATTCATAGTACGACGCGTGAAATCATAGCAGCCTAAGACACAGTGATCAGTCGTCGCAGAAAAGAGCGTCGTGAGCTCGTGCGATTTCCATACGCGTCGTCAGAAAAGAGCACACTTCCGGCACGAAAAGAGCATCGTGAATCTTGGATGTCCCGAAACGAAACATTACGCTCAATGTGGTCGCGTTTAAACGCCTGCGAGAGAGGCCCGTCTACTTGAAATTCCTTTCAACCTTTAAGTATGCATCCGAGGTATACATATAACATCGCTTTATCCGCGCTAGCGAAATCATTACACGCGCAATACACGCGTTGAGTCTTAATCGAGAAGTGATCCAAGATTCACGGTAACGCGATTCCCTTGATCCAACGCAGCGCGCAATCTTCTCGTTCCTCCTCACGAATTGCCTTAACCCATCGGCCCGGCCTGACGATGGAGGTCGGGAAGTCGCGCTACTACGAACATCCTGCATCCGGTATATCGGCACAGTTTTGCCTGACGAGCGCGAATCCGTAATCCTCGCGGCACTCGTTCGATGAGCGAACGAGAACCGACCTCGTCGGCGGGATCCCCAGGAACTTCCCCTTCTCGTCTCTTCGAAAGAACAAGCTAACCTAGCCTACATATATACAGTTATTACGCTCGCTGAGGCGCGAGGCGCGAACCGCCGCCAGTCGAAAGTCCGCTGTGTACAAAAGTGACGGCACGTGAAGGTGGGGACGCGTCGTCGCTGTCGGGTGGCGCGACATTATTGGCCGTTGTTCATATTGTTGATGTTGTTCTGCTGGTTCTTCACGGAGTCCATGTTGGGGATGTAGTCCATCGCCATCAGGCAGGCGAACACCGTCATCACCATCTTCGGCTTCACTTCGGTGATGTCCTCCGGCAGCGCGTAGACGCGCGCCCCGCACTTCCGGGCCAAGGATATCGCGTATTTGGCGTTGTCCAGGCTCTCCTGCGCAACGAAAATGACCGGTAGTCGTCAATTAGTCACGCCAACGTGCCCGTCGTTGGGAAAACGGGGAAGAAAGGGACGAGATCGATCGATCCACCCAGGCCGGTGTTCCGCCGTTTCCGCACTCGATTGATTTCCGGCCGCTCTCGGCACTGCCGGAGCAGACGGAACTAATTTCCGAGTTCTAATCTCTACGCGTCACGATTTAGTTTTCTCGCCGGGAGAGGTGCGAGATAAAAAGGATCGGATTCTGGCATCTTAGATCGTTCCGGTCGTTCATCACCCTGAAGAAGTGAACTGAAATACTCGCGAAACGTCGAAAACAAATCCGACGGAAAAACTCGAAAGCCAAATTAAGCACTTCATCCTTACCTCCTCGGTTCCACCCTCCTTCACGAGATCGTAGTTCACCGAACCGGGCTTGATGGCGTCGATAAGATCGAGGACGACCTTGCCGTCCGATATCGCGTAATCCTGGAACCCCTTGATACTGCTGGATTTCCCTGCCGCTTGCAGCTTCGAGTTGACCCATTGAACGATCTCCTTCTCGACGAGGGTGCTGCCCTGTGTGCCGGCTAAAGACGTTAGGATCGACAATGTGTACGATCTCATCAACTGCCAGATCAGCGCCAACGTGAGAGTCGCGTTTCCGTCGTTGAGGTCCTGCCCAGCGATGCCCACCAGCGAGAAGTTCATCTGCTTGCCCAGCTCGACCGCGTAATTGCAATTCTCCAGCTTCTCCATGAACTTCCTGAGCTTGGTGAACTTCTTGTGCACCTTGTTCCAGTTCACCGTGCCCGGCTTGATGATGTCGTACAGCTGGAAGATCACCAGACCGTCAGCTAGGTCGGAGTAGAGCCAGTTCACGTGCGGCGCTACGCCCATCGAGTTCATCCAGTTCCTATAGGTCTTCTCCTCCCTCGTCTCCTCCAACGACTCCAGGCCTTCAATGTTGCTCTCGGGCTTGTCGAGTCCCGGGTAATTGTTGAACATGTTGGCGACGAAGGCGAGATTGAGCTTATAGATGCCGTTCACGACGTCGCTAGGCGTGACGAAGCTACGGCAACCCAGCTTCGCCGCTTGCTGGAGCATGATCTCCGCCCTGGACGTGTGATTCGGCTCCATCAACGCTTCTAAGGTGACACCGGTTGTGCTGGGTGCGATCTGCTTGATGAGGTAAGTATAGATCTCGGAGTCCGTTATGTCAGACTGGAAGTTGTTGCACCTTCTGGCGATGCCAGCGTTCTCTAAGTGATGATTCACCCATCTGAGCAGAATGGACTCCGGAGAGAGCTTCAGCAGATCTTCGATACGCTCGCCGTCCTGCAAAAGCGTAGCCAGACCAGGGCAGTTCTCCAGAGTGATCTGATTGAACAGACCAATCCGGATGATCTGCCACAGTAGACCCAGCACCAAATGCGGCGAGCCTTTCGTGAGGTCGTGGGCGTCGATGTTTATGATATTGCAGCCTATAGCCTGGGCCGAGGACAGAGCCAGCGTCAGGTTCTCGTGTTTCTTGTACAGCGTCAAACTCTTCTTGTTGATGGTCCGCTCGTCGATGGTGTCCGGGCAGGAGTGATTGATTATTTTGCTGCAACGCGAATGAGAAATTAGTCCTCCAGCGAATCGATATTTTCTATACTCGACGTTTCGTCAACCGAAGCGAATCAAAATATATAATTCCGAGAGATACATGTCTCCATATTTATAAACGAATCTAAATTGATAAACGTCTTGCGAAAGGTCACCTTCGATCGACGTGAGAAATAAATTTGAAATGAATTAGAACATTCAGCTAGTTCTAGCATAGTATATTTTCTTCGACATTTTCGTCGAAGAAAATGGATTGATCGAAAAATCTGACATTAAAAATAACGTGGTAGAAATGAGGCATCCTGTGTAAATAAAAACCACACCGTCAGAGCTGCGCCGAAGGATATAAGTTAGACACGTACCAGAGTAATATTCCGTCCTTGACTTTTTCGTAGAGCATCTTGCCTTCGGGATCGATCGGCAGCAGGTGCTTCAGATCGGGATCGTGGGAGAGATTAGTGTTGATCCAGTCGCTGAACGCCAACTGCTCCTCCAGCCTGACAGAATGCGTGGTGCCCTCGCTAGACGCCTCGGAGATTCCGCCCAGAGTTTCGAGGTTCTCCTTCTTCGAGACTACTTGCTTGAACGTGGAGCCGAGTTCGTTGGCCTTCAGCTCCTTGCAGAGCTTCTCGAACTCCTCGAACGAGAGCCGACCTCTGTGCTCCAGCCGTTGCTTGTCGTCGTATTCCTCGATCATCTGGCGCACCTTGTAGCCCGGCATCTTGAAGCCGCACACATCCAGCGCGTTGCGCAGCTCGGTGACGTTGATGAAGCCGTCTCCATTCGCGTCGATCTGTCGATCAGGAAAAGAAAAACGTCAAGCGTCCTGCCGGTGGTACGTTGCGAGCACTGGCGTTCCGAGATTTACACGAAGGCGGACAAATTTTATAACTTCCGATAATAATTTTACTATACAATAATAAGGAAAATCCGATTTTATCATTTATTCGATCCTCATCTAATATTCATTTTCAACTTCCTCTTTTCTAGAAATATATAAATAATAATAAGAAAACATGAGACTTCGAACTCGAATGTATCGAACGGTTGATTCGCTCTCGATCGGTATCGGGATTTGATTCGCGAGTCTCTTCTTTTTTCGCGCTTGCACCGATCGAATGCGAATAACTTACGCAAGATATAAACATTTCCTCCCGTACCAGTTTTTTCCCGCGCGGCTAGGGTTGAGTAACGATCGCGTCGGCCGAATAATAGCTGAAATCGAACTTGCGACATCATCCTCGACGACGGTACGGCCGAACGAGCTATTACAGCAGCTTTGCCGCGACGCGACTTCCGTTCGTCGTACGGAAGCACTCTGCACGACTATTAGCGGAGACGAACGATTGCATACATGCAGATAATAAAATGCAATTAATTTAATGACGTAAAGGCGCGTGGTAACGAACGTTAACAAGTTTCGTAAGGCACCGCGATAATCAAAGGATAACGCTACTTGTAATCGAACGGATGTGAGAACCCTACCGCATTAAACGACGGCTCGCTCTATTGTGCAGTGATTTCTTTGTTTCTTCAACCGCGGGGCGGTTGATACACGGCGGATGTGTGCTTCAACGTAATCACTTTTGCTCTCAGGCGCGAAAAGGGGAAGAATCCGAAATTGAGAATGCGATTTGCATTCGCGGTCATTCACCGATCACCGTTGCAAAATCTGCGACGTATGGATTTGTTTACAGGAACTGTAAAAAGCACGGTACCAGGAGAAGCGACCGGGAGGGAATCGTATCTATCAACAAATTCGGGATTTTGATATTTCGTGAGCAAGAAATTCAGATAGTATCCTAATGCCAAATTTAAACGAGCAACTCATTGTTTTGCGACGGTTTACTGTCGTAACGTTGCATGCCGAGAGACTCTACGCTGTTGTCTGAGCTTGTTTCGCGAACAAATTTAGAACTTGGATACTTTCAGAGCAACAAATTCAGGTATCACTTCAGTATCAAGTTTAAGCGAGCAACTCAGCTTTATCTGATAGTTTAATCTCCTTTGTATGCTATCTTTGTACGCTAAGAAGTTTCCCACTGTTCTTTAAGCTTATTTCGCGAGCAACAAAATCAAGACTATCATATTTTGCGAGTAAGTAATTAACAACAAATTCCTATATTATTAAGTTGAAATTTGTTGCTACATATGTATACTGTCCCGCTAACTTGATCTTCCTTTAGCGGAATATTATTAAATAAGAAACTAACATAGTAACAAATTTTTTCATTGGCAACTTCTTAGCAATAAATGAACAACAAGTAAAAATATTAGAGTTGGTTCTGCTGATTTTGTTCCGATAAGACATCGAAACGCTGTCCATTGTCTGGTAGGTCCAACCCGAATTCATTTTCCAGTGTGGAGATCTCTCCTTTATTGCGAACAGTCACCGTATTTTCCAAAATATTCTTTGCTTTCGAACATCTTTTGTTCCCGATATTTCTGTCCCAGGCAATAAAAACGCGTATCTGGGTAAGCACCGTAAATCCTTATCTCGGCCGTTGGTCTCCTTTTGGTTTTACCGACTGCTCGCTTTCGCTAGTAAAAATCACACCACCTATTGGAATACGAAGATCGATCGCCGGATTTTACGGCTGGTCTCGTCTGGTTCGTCGCTCTTGATAGCAACAGCTCTCTCTCTCTCTCTCTCTCGTCCAAGCCCGGAAATAAGGCACTCGAGTTAAATTCCCCACGTTCAATATTAACGTCGCGGTACACGCGCGCTCGTAAAGTCTCGCGTCCGTCGCGGCGGAGTCCCGTAAGAAAGCGCGTTGCGTAAGAAACGCACCCACGATGAGCGCCGAGTGCGAGAAAGAAATCCAGGTCGCGAGAAAAATTCCGCTAAGATCCGCGAGCGTATCCAGACACCGCTGGTAGACACCGCAATTTTCGCGAGAACAATAGGCATACGGTAACGACGAGCAGGAGGAAGAGGAGGAGGAGGACGACGTCGACGACGGGAACGGCCATGTACGCGAGGAGGCTTCTTGGAAGACCGCATCGGGGTCAATCGGCAGTTCCTTATGTCCATTCTTGAGAAATGCTCGCGAGAGCTCGATTCGTCGAGAGCGGCTAATTAACATTTCATTCCCGGCGGACTCGCGAAGCGCTCGAATCGGTCGCGAATGTAAAGCGCTCGAGGAGATCAACGTCGGCGATCGTATGACGGTGATGTGAACGAGAGGAGGCCGAGACGCGCGATTTATGCGAGAAAATCAGCGAGCATGAATCAGACCCGAGTTTATTCACGCGGCACTACGCAAATCCGCCGCTTAGCCACTCGACTTCGTTAATGAACGCGACTAATCGAGCGGACTCGGAATAGAACTCGCGGACGTGCGCACATGGCTTTTCTCGCTTTTCTCTGGACCCTCGGTGCATCATTACACCTCATCGGAGTCAATTTTAGCCATTGAGCTGCGTCAGTTAGATTAGCGCTGTCATTCAGTCATCGAAACAAAAAAGGAGTGAAATAGCTTGACGAGTGACTGCTTCTTGGCGGAAAGTGACAAAAAGTGACTTCTCAGACATGAAAATAGCAACTAAAAGTGATATTTTTTGTTATATTCTAAGAGTAACTAAGGTCACTTAAACGAAAAAATAACACTTACTCTTATCTTCTTAAACTTATCTTTGGATAACTTAACGTATAGCAACCATTTTTTCACATTTTTTTTACGGTTGAAAGTTTATAACAAAGAAAGAACAAAATTGTACCGAAAAAGATGCTAGATTCAAGTAAATAATTACTCCAATTCCTTAGCAAATTTTTATTTGAATCAAGTAATATTTATTTTTGCGCCGCAACCGATATTACATTAAATAATTAATTGCAAAATCTTGCAATTGCCACGTACCGATAATTAATCCACGGTACCTCATCTGCATTTAAAAATAATGCGTGTAACTTCACAACTACATTAAACTATTTCACTAATCCTCATTTTCTTTAATAATTATATCTGTAACTTTATGCTGCATTCTCTGTTTCCTTAAGTATTTCATTAACTAGATCTCAAAAATATTGCTTATCAATTACGATTTCTTTTCTTGTAATATGTATCGAGGGGATTTCCCCGTTAATAAAAGTTATTATTATTATTAATGATTGAGTATCACTTTCGTGGAAAAAGATTATCTTTCAAGAGAAGAGACATCTTAGAATGGTATCTAGAAAAAAATCAGATGCAACGACAAATTTTCTCCGAATACATTGGGATATTATACAGGAGAAAGGTCTTTATCGAGCACGACGCGAGCACGACGCAGAATTCTCCCTTAATTAGTGCAATTTAATTCCATTTTACGGTATATCGACTGTCCTTGACAACGTATCATGTGACAGGGTTCCAGCGAAAGCATCTAATTAGTCGAGAGGATTCGTATTACGATCGAAAACGTGTCTGCCTGGTAACGAAAATTCGTTATGCAAACGCGAGTTTGCATAACGAATTTTCGATACTTTTCCCAGTATCTTACGCTTTTCCCGAACAGAAAGACATCGCTGAGTTAACGCCCTGAACAAAGTGACTTTATCGAGACTATCGTCTCGCGTTAGCAAGAGAGCGTGCCGCGAGAAAACCGGAGAAAATGAAAGCTGAGTGCACTCACTAACTTAAATAGCTGTTCGAAATCCTGAAAGTACTCCTCCACGACGTCCCATAGTTCCAACTTATAAATTTCCATGTCGACGGCGGACAGAGGAGGATCCCGGCACGCGGAAAAGAAGATCAGAGTTGCGCCACACACAAGAACATACTGGCGCGACGGTATCGTCGCGCTGGCTTATCGGTCTTATCGATTGCACGATAACGCGGAAATGGGATGTAAGTGAAAAAATCGCGCACGCGACATCCCTAGGAGAATCGATCGAGTGCACTCTACGCGAACCGCACAGAAAACAATCGGCTTATTGAGTTTTTCACAAAAAGTCCAGAGAAAAGCCGTCAAAAATTCAAACATCAACATCTAAGCTGATCAGAAGTCCAAATCTTTTCTTCAGGATATGCACTTCTTCGATAGTTTTATTATATCATTTCATACATTAATATTGATATAATAATATATGATTTTATTTATTTATTATTATTATTGTCATTTTCGCAACCATTTATCGGAGCCAGCTGTCATTAGCTTTCTCCAATTACTCAAGAATTCTGAATTTCTCGGTAGTTCCGGGTTGTTCCTCACTCCGAAAAAATGAACTGAAATATTCACGAAATATTGGATACAAATCCATGAAGGATGTCAACTCGAAAATCAAACCGCACAAGTAAAAAGTATCACTTTAAATTTGTCTGTTTCACTCGCGTGGCGTCGACGATGTGTCGAATAATTTCCATCGTTCTCTCGCGGTTTAACCGGATCAAACGTCACCGGTTGCGCAAAGACGCGTTAGGCCTCTCTCGCGGCGACTCACGGTCCTCTCGGTGATTATGCGCTGGCCGGATTACTCTCGGAAGAACTGTCGGCGAGAGCCGGTCAGATAATCAAATAATCCTGCGTCTCCGTGGTGTCACGACACGACCGGATACGATAACGGCCGAACGACAAAGTTACACGTGTCTTCGCGAACAACGTAATCCAGCTCGATGACATGCCTATCGATGATTTCATAATGGTACAATGCAGTGGCGAAGATAAGATACACAGTAGCGGCTGTGGAAATATCTACATTAAAACCGCGTGATTTTTTCCCTTCTTTTTTATTGCATAGTAATAACAGCGTCGCGTTGAGTGCTTTACGGGACGCACGATGCGAGCAGATATGTTATCCAATTTTTACGTGTG